TAACCCTAATTCTAACACTAAACCCCGCTAACTCTAGGCATAATTTTACCCTAGCCCTAACCCTGATTGTAACACTAAACCCCTCTGACCCGAAGCAACCCAAACTCTAACCCTAACCAGGTAATGGGCTCCTGCCCTAACCCTATCCTCAACCCTGACTTAAACCCTTTACCATAGCTTAGGATTGGTTTGGGGTTTGGGTTAGGTTTAGGATAGCACAGAGTTAGAGTGAGCACAGGACGAAATAGCATGATTCCGTAATTCGGAAAAATGAAACTCTATGTTTCCACATCATTCACTTCTTCCTTGGACCTGTTATGTTTCCGTTATGATTCCTGAACGGAAATATGACGATACGTTTCCGTTGCATTTCTGTCAACGGAATATTATCATCGCCTGTTTCCGTTACGTTTCCTTGTACGGATTCAAACTTTTACCGTCAAGTAAAACATATATTTATAAAGTGCTGTACAGTTCTTACACCACGTTACCATGAAGACGTGATCGTTCGAGGACAACAAAGGCAAATTGACGTGCATTAGGTGTGTACGTTCGTAGGAATCATAAGAAGTCCTAGAAGCTTCGATGTTTTACACTGAGTTATGTGCATGTTAATTTTGGAACTGTTTCGAAACCTTACAAAATTGAATCTTTTAAACTTACTCTGTGCTTAGATTTTTAAGCAGCTGGATCATTTGAGCCAGTTTAGTCACTCAAACCAGCAATACAATACTAGGCTAACTGGATAGTTTTAGGGTTAGGGTTAGGATTTTCAAGTAGGCACACGCAGTTGTGTGGATATTGTGGTACATGGAGTTTAGTAGAGTGTAGATTTTAGCAGTATTTGCCAGTGTTGACATATTTATAAAATTATGGTTCCAAAGTGCGTGTCACTGTTGAGAACCCAAGAAAATCATGAGAAAGTCGCCGATGGATTAGCCATAAAAATAAGCCCAACTCTGAGTCAATGCCAAACCAGAAGAAAGTTGTGGAACTCGCGCCAATGTAAAAAAAAAAAAAAAACAACTGAGGTTCGAAGTATGGGTCGCTAACATCCTATGAAAATCATGGGAAAGTCGAGGAGATTGGTCATGGTACCAACCAATGCCACTTTCCCATGAAAATCAAGAAACCTGTGGTAACTAGCCAACATATGCTAGAATGACAATCTTTAATAAAATTCATATCTAATAAGGATGTGTGAAATGGCCAATATCGCTCTTGGCCGAGATACTGGTTTGCCGTGTTTTGGCAGTTATTTTGGCGAATATGGTTAAAATCAAATCTGTGTAAAAACAGTAAAATCAACGAGTTATTGAGGTTCGTCAACATAGGGAGGGTCCTCTTAGTCTAGAGAAAAACTTCTGCCCACGGCTAAAGGCGTTAAATTAATAAATTGATATATCTGGGCGGCATATCACACAGCAACACTAAACTTCTCCTTTCTCACAGCTTTTTCCCCTTTCACTTCTTTGCTAATTCCATTTTTTTTAAAGTAAAAACTCGTTTTGGAGGCATAAAGGTCCCTAAAGCAACGTTTCAAGATTTTATGGCGATCTTGTGAAAAACATGTAGTTCCAGCTAGTTTAGAGGGTTTTGGCAGCTATTTACACAAAAAGTGGGTAAAATCAGCCCAAATTTTACTGAGAAGACTGCGTTTTAGCTGGAATAAGTGTTTTCACATGGATTGTATCCTTATTTTGTTAAAGACATCGTGCTTTTGAATGTAAAATAGGCTGATTTTTGCAAAAAAAAAAAAAAAAAAAAAAGTGTTTTTCAGGTCGAATTGAGCGCTTTTGTCAACTTTTGCGTAAAATTTGGCAAAAACTCGCGCGTTCTGCCGGATTTTGGTGTTTTTAGATAGATTTCATTGCAATTTTACGAAATACATGTAGTTTCAGCTAGTTTGCAGCGTTTTGGGCATGAGACCGGCAAGAGTGATGGTAGACACTCTTAGCAGAGATAATTGTGCTAGCAGATATTAAAATTTCACCTGTAAAGACAATGAATTAATTGAACACAAGAAAAAGGAAACTTGATAAAAAAATTAGAATAATGGCGGGGAGAAAAGAGGGCTGCACTAAAGATTATGTACTTGTGTTCTTGAAGCTGAAAATTAACAAGGTTCCTAACAATTTTTGAAAATCACACAAATCCCAAGCTATATCCAGGGTTTTCTCTTGATAAAATTAACTCTTAAAACAAATTGGGATTTTACCTTGGTCCTTTTTTTTTACTTTTTATGTACATTATTTATGTATAAATAATGCTCCCCTGACCCTCCCCCAAATTTCCAGAGCAAATGGAAACTCTTAAGAATGATCAAGCTTTACCTTATTATTTAAAATTTTTACATCTTGAATTATCAAGTTATCACAGAGGATTTCTTGGTACTTTAACCTGTTTAACACCCTAAAAGAAGTGCACATATATACTACACACAATCAGCCCAGTCAAAATGTGCCACAGCTGACAATTTGGCTGCCTGCCACAATATAGCTGCCGCTAACTTCACACTTTTCACACTTCCATTCAAGACAAGGTTCAGCCTCTGCTGCCTATTACTATCACCAGCTTGCCTTCCACTCAAAAACATTTTGACTGAGCTCATCCATACATATATACATAAGTGGGAGATTAGGTTACATGAGCGAACCTGCACTATTGAAAGAGATCAATGAATTACAATTCAAAGAAACATTGATAAATAAAATAAATCAATAGAAATGACAAAAATCAAACTAACAGCAGACAGTACTCTTTCAGCCTTCTGGACCTGAGCAGTGCAGTGATCTTCAACTAAGTGCTTAATTTGGACATAAAACCAGAACTTGGTATAGCTAAATATTATTATTTTTCTTTTAATATTCCCACTCCAGCTGATGTGTATTATTTGAATTACAAGTCTTATTAGCATGCAAAATCACCTACGGACAAGGCACACACTTTGCACCAAAATAGCTTTGCATCAAGTACATTATCTAGTACATCATTACCATCTTCAGGTATTTCTAATTTACTTGTGAAAATCACACAAATCATAAGCTATATACAGCATACAATCAGCAGCAAATTATTAGAAAGGAATGCAGTAAATTTTAATAAGAATATTACTAAGTAGTTAAATAACAAATAGCCCAGTAAAATTGTGCCCGTTGCTGGGAATTTGGTTCTCAATAAAATTAGCTAAAATAGCCAATCTTGAGTTTTACTGCTCACTCAAAATGGGCTGGCAGCTTACAATTTGGCCGCCTACAATGAAGTACCTTCCGCTAACTTCACATTTTTCAGACTGCTTTTCAGGAAGAGGTTTGGCCAGCTTTTCTACTACTCAAAAACATTTTGACTGGGCTGTGCAAGTCTTACTAGCATATAAAAAGCACCTTCAGGTAGATTACAGCAAAGCAGACTTTGTACCAAATGCTCTGCATTAAGTACATCATTAACTTCTTCAAGTATTTCTAGTTTACTTGTGAAAATCCCACAAATCACAAGGTATATTACATTATACATTCCAGTTGACAAAGCAATCAAGGGTAATTTTTTCATAATGGATGCAATGATCTTCAGTATCAAGATTATTTGGTACCTAAATAATAAAATGTTCGAGAGAAGAAATAATCATAAACATTTTTTCTTTCTCATCAGCATCGACTTCCAAAAGTAATGGATAATGACCACTTAAAACAAAGAAGAAATAAATCAAATTTGTGATTTCACAGGGCTTCAATACGAAACAACTATACATATCTTTTATTTCCTACCACTTACAAGTGGCAGGAATGGCTGAAATGGCCTTCACGTGAACACAACAGAATCCTATGCGTGTGTAACCATGTAGAACTATTTATTCGGTATCGAAATTTCATCCCAAATGTCATGATATTTGACTGAAACTCAGCTTACCCATCTTTCGTTTAGACTTCGAAACTTGCTGCTTTTTACCACCGTTTCAATGTTTTCTTGTTGTTCAAAAGGTGGTAGGGCCATTGCAGACCGTGATTTTTTTTTACTTGAGAACCAGATCACAACACCCAAGCCTTTTCACGCTAAATATTAAACTACTGAGATTTCCTTCGCCGCCGTAAGCCGCCATTTTATCTTTCCCTGAATACTAGTTCCCAAGCTTCGAGCCCGAAGGTCTCAGACATGCACTGAAATTATGATATTCGTTATTTCAGGGCCAATTTAGAAATAACGGTAATCGTTATCTTGGTGTCGAGATCATGCTGATCACAACTGAACGCACATTTACCCCTTTCCTCCGCCATCTTGAATGTTGTAAGACAGTGGAACCGAGTCCTTCTCTTTATTTAACACGGTAAAGAGCATTGGTAAAGAGTGCCACGAAATTACTATATCCATAAATTTGGTGCCAATTTAGAAATAACGATAATCGTAATTTCGGTCTCGAGATCATGTTGTATAATTTGCAGTTTTGGTCTCGAGATCATGTTGGCTGTGACAGGGCTATGACTTAAAGTGGGACGGGCACGGGTGGACTGGAAAGTGGGAATTGGAGACTCGGGAACTCGGGGACTCGGAGACTCGGGGACTTGGAGACTCGGGGACTCGGAGACTCGGGGACTCGGAGACTCGGGGACTCGGAGACTCGGGGACTCGGAGACTCGGGGACTCGGAGACTCGGGGACTTGGAGACTCGGGACTCGGTGACTCGGGGACTCGGGGATCGGGGACTCGGGGCCCATTGATGGGCTCCTAACACAGAGTAGTTTCAACGCAGGGTGTCTTGAGACTGTTAAAAGACGTCGTGGGCAATTATGGAAGACTTTCCTGGCAAGTAACTGCGTTTTTTTTTCTCGATCCTTTAACATCTGTGCCTTATCCTTGCTAATTTCGATTCTGACGTTTACCTCAGGGAAACTGTTGTCCGTAAAGGTATGTTTCTTTCATTTTCACTCCTAGAATGAGCAGATAATTCTCGTAATGATCTTGAGCTGGAAAGTGAGTGGGAACCGGAGAAAAGTACATGTGAAGAATCCGACGAAAGGTACAAAAATTACTCTTTATAGCTTTCAAATTTCATTACTAGTGACGCTAAACCTATGATAATACTGAAAAAAATGGAAAGGTGACTAGCGTGATGAGATGTTTCGTTCTAATTCCGTTTAAACTGGGCTATTCTGGATTAATTTTCTCCCCTTTGTTGACTTACAATCATTAAGGATCTGTCATTAATCCTTACCCCAGTACTAAAGCAAATATTAAATCATATGAATTAAGAATTTTGTGTTTGATGAAGTACTGTGAGGTTCATAACTTTTTATAATTCATAATTCATAATTATTTTAATTCAGATTAAGGGCCTGTTTACACAGAGGTGGAGGACCCCAGGTAGGTGAGGTAACCCACCTAGCCGTGGTCGAAAAATAAAACGCGTTTACATGCAATCTTACAACCCCGGGGTGCTGAGGTGAGGTTTCTTGAGGTTGTTGTTGCGCTTGCAATTAAGGAGTATGAGCAGAGGCGTCCCAAGCTCACACGTCGAAAAAGACGAAAGATTAATTCTCGGACACATACGTATTTATTCATGAAAGCGTCACGCGCTGTGTTACGTGGTGTTTGGTTTCGCGAGGAACCGTTGACTGAATACGTCATACGGAATAGTCAGGGAAACCGAATATGGTCGATCTACAACGCTAGATATTCCGAAATGTAAACATTTTACACTCCTTGTGTGTCCGTTGCGGTTTCTGGTGTTTTCTGCCTTGAGACGCCTAGGAAATGTACAAAGTTTAAAAACATACATGTTTCGCTTTTGAGCTTCTTGCCATGAACGCGACCCCAGCTAGGCGGGTTACCCCACCTTGACACGTTTACATGGCAAATTGTCACCCCGGCTGACAGGGTTACTTTACCTAGCAGACCGGGCAACCTGCCTTGACGGGTCACCCCACCTATCATGTAAACGTGATCAAAATAAAATAAGAAATTATAAGGACAGGCGGGACAGGTGGGTTACCTCAACTACCTGGGGTCCCCTACCTCTGTGTAAACAGGCCCTTAATCTGAATTAAAATAATTATGAATTATGAATTATAAAAAGTTATGAACCTCACAGTACTTCACCAAACACAAAATTCTTAATTCATATGATTTAATATTTGCTTTAGTACTGGGGTAAGGATTAATGACAGATCCTTAATGGTTGTAAGTCAACAAAGGGGAGAAAATTAATCCAAAAAATTATGCTTTTAAATTTGTAGACCAGGATCAATGGACCTTGGAAAGATGATCACAATCTTCATAAAGCTTTACAATTAAGTTTACAAGAGTGTTCTCTTAACCAAAGGTATGCTACCTTTGAGAAATCTTATTACTGTTTGTGTCACATCGCAAACATAAGTTAAATTCAAATCTTTTGCAGTGTTGTTAATTGGACTCTAGGTAAAGCTTATGGATTATAACAGTATGGATAGTCCAAAAAATGTTCATAAATTGATGTAAATTTCTCTTGTTTACGACATGCCTGTATGTTTTTAGGTCAATGTCGATTGTGAAACAGGATCATTTCAATCAGGTAACAAGCTTTTCAATGTGTTGAAAGTGTTTATTCCAAAAAATAGCCACATATTTGAGCTATTGCATGTCCATGTTCATGCAATTTGTTTTCTTTTGGATTATTTTAATTTACAGGATTCACTGGCTAGTATATAATTCATGTAAAATACACTTAAGCATAGTAAATGCTACAATGATATGAAAAATTTATGTAGACTGTGAAATTACTAGGAAATCAATTATAAGAAAAAAGGTTAGAGCATGGTAAAAAAAAATTGAGAAATAGATACAAGAAACAGAGTATTCCAGGAAGGGACTGTCTATTGAAACTGTTGATGGAGCTTTTAAAAAATTGTAAAATAAACCCAAGTTGTCTTTTGTGGGTGTAGCTCTAATTATTTTTCACTTAATTAGCATGCCAGTGCAATAACTATGAGTTGTGGACATGTAACATATTGTAGCTGTGAAAAATTGTATAAGAGAGCATTAAAAGGTAAAGCAACAGTGCAGTTAATGAATCTTCACTACTATGAAAATTAGGAATGTGAATAACTAGCCTTAGTGACAATCTCATGTGCCCCCTCTTCCCCCAAGAGAGTGCATAATAATGTTCTCAACCCAGATTAAATAACCTTACAACATCAAAATTTTTGCTTTACAGGATGGCAGTACCATTACTGAAATAGAAATGTTTGGGGCCTGTAAAAGAAGCAGAAGGTATGTAGGACAAGTTAATAAACCATAAAACCATTTTTGTTGCCAAACATTAAATCTATTCCCCTAATACACAATGCAGTATAACCTCATAAGCTGGAGCTTTCTACTCTCTTTACCTTAAATATTTTTCTCAGTGATTTACTATAATAAGTTGACTGTTTCTAGTTTTCTTTAAGTTATCAGGACTTATTAGAGGTCCACTGTTCCCATTCTCATTTCTCCTCATTTTTTCTCCAGCATTGTCAGGCAAAGTGAAGGTGATTTGGTATTGAAATCAACTTCATCTGTTTCTCAACAGGTGTGTCTTTAGCTTATTGAAATATCATGAGTGTTTCGTGTTCTTTCTTAACCATTGCATTTTTCCTTATAACATTGGCATTGTGGTTGGAGGAATCCCAAATGTTGTTAGAGTTAGGTTGTGCATGCATGTAACAAACATTTATTAATGATACATTTGTTCATGGATCGATAATCTATTTTACCTTAATAGGTTGATAGCACCCCAGTTCAGTCACCAGATGCTAAAAGACATAAGGGGTATACTAGGAATGTACATTACATTAAAATGATATGAGTATTCACTAACTCCCAACATGTGATGTTAGGAGTTACATGACAGAAAAAAAATTGGCACATAATAACAGGAAAACTAAGTGTTCAAGTAAACTATTACTGATTGATACCTATGGAGGAAGGTAGACCAGAGCTGCTGACATTGACACAATATTTCTAGCCTTATTTCATCAGTTTTCAAAGTAGTGTAAAACTCTTGAAAGCAGTTAAACATTTGTCCCCAACTGTAGCAGCTACAGTTGGCTTTCACGACAAGGTTTATTGTTTGTGTACAATTTGTTCTATTGTTGACCCACCCAATGTTGTAAAACCCCACAACAGCAGTTACTTGATGGCTGGTTGTTATAATCTTTTAACAGGGTTTCACTCTGTTAAACAAACCTTTTATTCTTGTTGCAAAAGAAAAGAAAAAGAAAAGTGGAGGAGTTTGGCTTTATACACAGAGCAATATGTTTTGAAAGCAAAGAGGGCACTGTAGCAACAGAATGTAAAGTAGACTTCATGGAGGTAGTTGACAATAACGATGAAAGTATCATCACCAGTAGCCATGAAAGCGAAATCAACAGTAGTGATGAAAGTGAAATCGAAGATCAGTAGGGATGATACTGAGCAGGTATGTTTAAATGTATTTTGATTGAAAGCAGAACTCTCCTTTCTTGATGGAAGACAGAAGTATATTTAGCTCTTCTTTGGTGTCCAGAAAGTTTTGGTTAATTACTTCATTGCTTTTCCAAGAATTGGATTTTTACTTGTAATCGCTCCCATTACGATTTTTGCGTTATTAAAATATTTCCATTTTGAGCACTTTTTCAAAGCTAAAAAAGGTGCGTTAAAAATTCACTACCATCCAGTAAATTAAATTACAGACTGTGTCAATTTCCACCAGTTTGTTCGGCATTTCGTATCACTATTTATCAACAGTTTTCATGCGTATTGTCAGACTGAAAAAGCAGTATACATCTATTTTCGGGGTTATCCTCGGTGTAAAAACCTCACAACTGACGTCACAGCATCTATGACAGCCAGGGCTTGATCGCTAATGAATGGATCAGTAGATCAATGGATCGATGGAAGATCAGTATGGATCACTAGATCAATGGATCACTAGATCGATGGATCGCTAGATCGGTAGATCGATGGATCAGTAGGTCGATGGATCGGTAGATCGATGGATCAGTAGATGGATCGGTAGATCGATGGATCAGTAGATGGATCGGTAGATCGATGGATCAGTAGATGGATCGGTAGATCGATGGATCGGTAGATCGATGGATCGGTAGATCGATGGATCGGTAGATCGATGGATCGGTAGATCGATGGATCGCTAGATCGATGGATCGGTAGATCGATGGATTGGTAGATCGATGGATCGATGGATCGGTAGATGGATCGGTAGATCGATGGATCGATGGATCAGTGGATCAGTAGATCAATGGATCAGTAGATCGATGGATCGCTAGATCAGTGGATCAGTAGGGTACACTATATCTTCAGAGGGCTACTTTTTGTTGAAAATTTGTCTCCCCACTGAAAGTGAAAATCTAACATTACCAAAAAAGGAAAGCAAAATCTTAAAACGCGCACGAGATATTTCGAAAAAAAGGGGTTTTATATAAAATTTTTATATAAAAGTTAATAGAATATGGATAGGTGCCATATTCCTCACAGTGCCTTGACTCCCGGGCGAACTTTCCGGGCGAACTTTCCGTGCGAAATGTCCTCGTGCAGGGAGCTCTTATTCCGAGAACTCATAAGCATTTCTTTTGGTTACATGCGATTTCACTACGTGGCTCTTCAATTGTCTTACTTAAAGTTGACTACACTGAGATCATGAAACGAGTTCTAAAGAATAGAGAAAAGTCCTTGCGCAGCGAAAAAATGAACGCAAAAGGGAATGCTAGTTCGACAGTGTCTTGGGTGTTGTTTGGTTTGATCAACCTTCAAACGTGCAACTCGAAGAAAACACGTATAATGAAACTCAACCGTATTTTTCGTCTGCTTATTTTCCCATTGCGATCGCCAGGTGAACTTTATAATTAGGAGAACGTGACTGTCACACCATTGGAATTGCTTGGCTGGTGGCATGTCATGTTGACATATATCTCAGGTGAAGGCGTGACATGTGTAGAATCGACAGATTTTAATGAAATTTGGCCTGAAAATTCATTAAACATCAAACAATAAAAGCGTGTCCGGGATTAGCTTTAATTTAGATATTTCTCATTTTACGGCCGCAAACGCCACAGGGTCGGCAAATTATCCGCTACAAAAACTTTGCGTGTCTATAAAAAGATAACCAATAAGAAACCAGAGAAATCCTGACACACATTTAGAGACTGATCCTTGCTGATTGATACTGTGCAGTACTTTTGAAGAAGCGATGGTGTTTGATACCTGATTAATTCAGCGGAATGTCAATCGATCTTTTTCTGTTTACTGGCTTCTAACTTCTTAAAAAAGGCTCTGCATACATAGTGGATATTTTTTTTCGAAATCTGCAGTTCATAACCTTTCTATTGATATATAGTTTGTGGTAGTTAACTTCGAAACAACACGCGTACGATTTTTTTTCGAAGGACCCGCGAAGGTATTGTGTCAGCTTAACGTGACAAAAACATCACACGAACCAATCAAAAGGTGAGATTCCCACGTGTATTTTGTTTGGAGTTTTCCCTGAGAGCGTCTTTCATTTCGCGCACAATGGCTGCTGTTGGAGGACTTGGAGAGGTAAATTCAGTAAGCGATCTTGAGAAAAAGCTTGCCGAAAGCCACATTCCATGGGACGAAATTGCTCCGGCCCACATTCACGAATGGCTGAAAGTATACTCGAAAAGCCACGGTACCTCACCGGTGCTACTCTTGGCTGGAATATTGCCATGCACTAGTGCATTAATTGGCAACACCACAGTAAAGCTGTTTGATTCCTTTCAAGAGAAGGGAAATCTGTTTATGTTGGGCCTGGCTCCATCCGGAGCTGGAAAAACCCCCGCCTGCAACATTGGATGCGTGGGACCGTTAATTTCGCATTTGGAGCTACGAATTGATCGAAGCATTCTGGTTGACGAAACGTCGTCGAATGGTCTCTTTAACCATTTTGTGAACTTCCAAAAAAGTGCCTGTCTTTTAAACTGGTCAACAGATCTTTAACTTTATCGAAAGCTGTTCCCTTGCAAAGTTTCCAGGCTAAAGCTATGCCGATTTCGTTCATAACTATGAATAAACTGTCATACAGCTGTATCCACTTTCCCTCACACCAAAAGCCAATATTTGCAGACACTTTAAATGTATGATCAGCACTTAATGAAGAAGCTCTCATCTGACACATTCTTTTGTGGTACAGATGTTCTTTTTCAAAGTATCCCATAATATAACAGCATGTTGAAACTTTTTCTCCAACCTTGATGCCTTTCGGTGAAAAACTTGGAAATGCTTCTGGGCTTTCGTTCTTCTCCGTGAGGAAACTCATCTTTCGTACACCATACTCGTCAAACAGACTTTGATGCCAAAGGACTTGGACATCGGAAATTGTCATCCCCGCGCTTATGTGCGAGATGAAAAACCGGAACAACTCTCTCGTGACTCCTATCTTGTGAAATAACATAAATGGCGGCTGAAAACCAGCTCTCAATTGATATAAAATGCCTTGATCGTGACTAAGAATTTGGTGCTTATTTCGACACAGGTAGACTCGTCCAACGAGCAGCACATCGTTTCTTAGGCCATACAGAAGACGTGGTTGGTCGTAGTCCTTACTACCATCTTTCCAACGAATGAGGTTGAGGGTCTCTTGAGTATTTGTCTCATCGCATGACGGACAGAGAAGGACTAGCTCTGGAAAATGTAACAGCGGATCCCACAACAAGACATCTGGTACCAGAAAAGCACTGGGGGAATCACCAACTGCATTCTTGACACGCGTTCCACGAGGAATTGCACGAACAGGCCCACTTGAGAAGCAGATGACTTGTCTGTTGCTATTTTCAATGACAAGCCGAATAAATTCTTTTGTTTCCTTATTTACCTTGACTAAAGAACTCCGAGTCGTAAGACAAACCAAGAAAAACTGTGAAAACCATAGCTCTAGCACTTTGGCCGTGACCGCCATGTTTTCTACCGGAACTCTTTACCAGGACAAACAGAGAGACCTCTTCCCCAGGCTGATTTCCTCCAGTATTTCTACCCGTCCACTGATCTACCGATCCATCGATCTACCGATCTATCGATCTACCGTTCCATCGATCTACCGATCCATCGATCTACCGATCCATCGATCTACCGATCCATCGATCTACTGATCCATTGATCTACCGATCCATCGATCTACCGATCCATCGATCTACTGTTCCATCGATCTACCGATCCATCGATCTACTGTTCCATCGATTTACAGTTCCATCGATCTACTGATCCATTGATCTAATGATCCATTGATTTACCACTGACTGACGCCGATCGTTTCGTGACGTCAGTTGTGAGGTTTTTACACCGAGGATAAGCCTATTTTCGTTTTGCTTTTACCTTGTGGGCTTTTCGTTACTTGGAAGTGCCACTTCAGGTTATGGAAAACGCCTCCTTTTTGATTGATTTAGACGCCCTTGTCCACCTGGATTGTAAAGCTGACGATCTTGGCAAGTGGACTCAGACTGGTTCTCCGAAAAGCTACATTTCCGTCGACCGCAACGTGAGTGGGGATATCTTGGATCTGAAGCTTAAGATAACGAGGCAAAAGAGAAACGACGCCGACTTCAAAATGGTTGTCAAGCACTATCATCATCATGACAAGGAAGCTAAATACCGCAAGAGATTATCTTTCTTGTATGACAGCAAGTGGCAAAGGCACCGAATTGTCTTACTTCAGTACTATTATGAAGAGGAGGAAGTGTAACTGAAACTTAAATAGCATGGAAACTCTAAAAACAGCAACGAACCCTATGTACGAACGAGACCAAGCACCATTCAAGAACTAAAGGAAACTGTATCATCAAGGAAATGGCAACCCAGGGAGGTCTTTTTCGAATCAGTTCGTCGAAAAGGGGGGTTGGAATTCTGTCGTTCTAAAAGTGAGCTGCCGTGAAATGCGAAACAAGTTTGTAACGCATTAGCTTCGTCTACAATCTCCTTTAAGCCCTCCACCAACTAGAAGAGATATCTTGCCAGAGCCAATGGAGAAGTGCAAGAGCAAAGATGGTTTCGTTATAGAAGTTTTTGGTGCTCCAGAACCTATGGCCTTTCTTGCCACTGACCGGCAATTGATGAAGACATCGAGTTGTACTGTGCCTAAGTGGGCTCATTTCCCATTCTTGGCGTGGACGCTACGTTTAATCTGGGAGACTTCAGTGTAACTCCAATGACAGATAGACCGCCTAAGATCTACAACGTGAGAACTGGTAAGCATCCTGTTTTCCTTGGACCCTTGCTTGTTCATCAAAGTAAATATGAACAATATGTGTACCACAGGAAATGTGTCATGGCGGGGTGTCATGGCGGCTAGTCATGCTAAAAGTTTGCTCCTGATCTATTTTTGGTTACTGACTCTTAATCCTGCTTTAGAACCTAATAACCACACTATTTTAAACAGGATACCAAGCAGATGGATT